AAAGGGAAAGACGGGGGAATAGATAGATAGATAGATAGATAGATAGACAGACAATATATATTTACACACACACACACACACACACACACACACACATATATATATATATATATATATATATATATATATATATATATAGAGAGAGAGAGAGAGAGAGAGAGAGAGAGAGAGAGAGTGAGAGAGAGAGAGAGAGAGAGAGAGAGAGAGAGAGAGAGAGAGAGAGAGAGAGAGAGAGAGAGAGAGAGAGAGAGAGAGAGAGAGAGAAATGGAAAGAAAGGTGAGAGAGCAAGATGACAAAGTGGCTCCCGAGTGCTACCCTCCTCGCCCCCCTCCCCCCACCTCCCCTGGCAACCCTCCCTACCCGGCGCGACGCCCCCTCGCCGACGCCTCCGGGCACCGCGGTCCAGCTGATCCACACGCTCCTCACGCGCTCAAATTGAGAGATAGAGGGGAGGACTTGTTTATTCCCCTCGCGTCAACTGCCTCAGAACCCTTATGTTTTCTTAGAGTCTGGGAATGAGGAGGAGAAGAGGGGGAGGGGGAAAGGGAAGAGATGGAGGGAGACAAGGAGAAAGGGAGAAGGAAAGGTAGGTTGGAAAGCAAGCGTGCAAGACTGGCATGCAACGGTCACGGCATACCCTACCGTCCCCCCCTCCCCTCTCCCCGGCCCGAGCATTCTGTAATAATCTCTCTCCGCGCGAGGAACATCATCAAGAAAGTTAGTTCCTCGCAGCGCCCTTCGTCATGTAATTAAGCCAGTTAGTTCTCTCCGGTAGCGAGATGGTCCCCGCCGCATCCCGCGCTCGCAACGGGTAGGGAAACCATGCGGAGGCAAGGCTCTTCCAGTGAATTATTCCTCTGGCGGGGAGAGGGGGGCGGCGGGAGTCGGCCAGGCTGCGAGGAGTCATCACATGACGAAATCCATAAATATCCGATTCGCGATCGACCACAGTTGCCCTCGAGCACACATACCCGCCCAGCCACCACCGACCTTGGAGGTCAGGTGCCCCTCCCCCTCCGCCACTCACCTGAAAGCAGAGCGATACCTTGCAAGTGCAGTTGCACGACACTCTCGCATCAGTCTCCCGCCATGTGTCGGTGCCAAGTGGTGCCAAGGGGAGCACCGACCCCGCTAGGGCGCGCTGTATTGACGGAAACAGTCGATAGTGCATCGCCGATGATAAATGAGGGCGAGAGAGTACGCCGGCCGTCACCTCTCGCCTCTACTTCGATTGGCGGCATAAGCGTTCTCACACACACGGACGGAGAGACAGAAAGATATATAAGTGTATACATATATATATATATATATATATATATATATATATATATATATATATATATATATATATATATATATATATATATATATACATATACATATACATATACATATACATATACATATACATATACATATACATATACATATACATATACATATACATATACATATACATATACATATACATATATGTGTGTGTGTGTGTGTGTGTGTGTTTGTGTGTGTGTATAAAATTCACAGATAGTCTGAGGCTGATGGTTACAGAAATACAAACACTTATAAATAATATATAAATACATGTAGACTGACCCCATTGATAGACTAATTACAACAGCCCGACCTACAACCGAACAACAGACACACAGAGAGGGGATTTAAGTCGAAAAGCCCGCCATTATCCCAGGTAAAGGTAAACACAATTAGTCCAAACATCCGCCGCCTCTTGCCACCCGCCGGAGCACAAACAGACAAACTCGACGCTCCATTATCCTCTATCTCTGCCGTATTTGCCTTCCTCTCCGCGCGTGTGTACCTGCACAAACCAAACACAACGATGCAGTAATGATCCTGATATGATTAATAAATCGAGAGGTGAATAACGATGCCGAAACAAACAAACAAACAAGCAAACAAAAGGCCTAAATCACGCCCACTCCGATAATTAATCTTGACATCTTCCTCGTCCCGTCTTCGCGAATGTGAAAATGCCAAGGAGGAGATAAATGACACGGCGGGAGTGCAGGGACGGGGTGTCGGGGAGAAGGGGGGAAGAGCAGGAAGAAGAAGACGAAGAAGACGAAGAAGACGAAGACGAAGAAGAAGAAGGAGAAGAAAAAAAGAAGAAGAAAGAAGAAGGAAAGGGAAACGCAGAATAAAAGTAGAAAAAAAATATGAAAAGGGAAAATGAAAAACAGAAGAAGAAAAGGAGGAAATGATGACGGAGGAATAAATGGTGGGGGAATGAAGAACAGAGAAACAAAAAGTATAAATATGAAAAAAATCGAGGTATAATGAAATGGGAATCCCCTTAGATCAGCCCTCCTCCCTGCCCCTTCCCGCCGCTCCCTCACACGAAACGCCAATGACGTAAGGATGACGTCACACACCTGAAACATCCCGCCAGCGAGCAAGGGATCAGCGCCTCCGTCCACATCCGAGGCGCGGGTGGCAGCTTCCTCTCCCCCCGCCGCCCCGTCACTCGCTCTTGTCACTGGCACTCGGGGAAGGGGCGATAAAGCGTCCTCCAGCACCGAGGCCGCCATGCAAGCACACCTGGCGCCCGTCTCACGCTCTCTGCAACTCGCCGACACTAGTTGCAATGCTTTACGGCAATGGGCGGCCGTTTATACGATTTTTACAGGCTCGCGGCCGGCGTTACGAGGTGACCGCTGTTCTTTACAGGCTGATCACAACCTTTACTGGGGATGCGGATGGGCAAAATCTTTCCTTTGTTCATCTGTAAGTGAAAGCGGACATTTCCTTGTCTCTTTACCACACACGTCGATGCAACGTTCCAGATGCCTGTCGGATATTTTTTTTAGTAAAGAAATCACACTTTAGCAAAAACCAAACCAGAACAAAAAGCAGGTCACACTTTTCAATTTCAAACTTTTTAATTTCTTCTACAAGCAGATCACACTTTTTTTTTAAATATGCAGTTCACACTCTTTTATGCCAGCCAAACATTTAATTAAAACAAAAACCAGCAAGCTAATCACACGTTAGTAAATAAAAAAAAAATCCGACCCCAGTTCCCAGCACCGCTTCGGCCCCCGGCAGCGCAGACGTGAAACAAAGGAACGCCAACTGCACGTCTGCCTAACACCTCCTCCCCTACACGTATGGTTCAATTGTAACGCTCCCTTCGCTGGGACGTGCGTGACCAGTCTCCAAAAGGTTTAGCCGAGGACACACGCACGCACGCTTAGACTGGCGGGCCCACGCACTGCATGCAGCGTCCTCTTCTGTCCACAGTGCTACTGAGACCGCAATGGCTGGTAAACAGGCTCAGCAAGAGGGGGAGGGGCTTTCATACCTATTTCTCGACTTTCCCATTCCTCCCTTTCCAAAGTCTACTCCCTACAAGGTAAAGAGAGAAAGAGACACCGCAATAGAGAGTGCAAAATGTCGGTTGGAAAGATGCTTAACCTTCTCTTAAGATGGTAATGTATGAAAACAGAAAACGTTCGATATAGTGACTATACTATCAGAAGGACGGTGAAAGCTGTTCTCTGTGTACTGTGTTCGTGTCACCGCAGCGGGTGCTAACTAAAAAGCTCTTTCAGAAATAATAACTAATGGTTCAAATAAATCAACAAATATCAAGGCGGGAGGAGGGGTAGCTAAAAAGCAGTGATATTTGGGAAGCCTGTGAAAAATAACGGACAAAGACAAGCGCCAATGTAACGAGTCTCTTATGAAAACCTTCACTGAAATGGGACTACAACAAAATATAAACAGAAAGAAAAACATCGGCGCCAAAGTAAGGTAAACGATGGTTCCCGGCCAACACCAGTCTTAAACAAGGCCTCGACTACGCTAAAAATCTAAGGCTAGGAAAACCACAAAGGAAAAAACAGAAGCGACTTTCGCGAAAGATGCTGCACATCTTTCCACATCCACGTCACGGCTGCGGTGTGCCACTAGCGGGAGCGTTAGTTAGCTGGTCAGGATGTCATCACGCCACACACAACACACGGCCGGGAGGGGGCGTCCAGCATGCACGCCCGCCCACACTCACCGCCTCCTGGTGCCCGAAAACAAAGGAACGCCAACTGCACGTCTGCCTAACTCCTCCTCCCCTACACGATATGGTCTTCAATTGTAACGCTCCCCTCGCGCTGGGGACGTGCGTGACCAGTCTCCAAAAGGTTTAGCCGAGGACACACGCACGCACGCTTAGACTGGCGGGCCCACGCACTGCATGCAGCGTCCTCTTCTGTCCCACAGTGCTACTGAGACCGCAATGGCTGGTAAACAGGCTCAGCAAGAGGGGGAGGGGCTATCATACCTATTTCTCGACTTTCCCATTCCTCCCTTTCCAAAGTCTACTCCACTACAAGGTAAAGAGAGAAAGAGACACCGCAATAGAGAGTGCAAAATGTCGGTTGGAAAGATGCTTAACCTTCTCTTAAGATGGTAATGTATGAAAACAGAAAACGTTCGATATAGTGACTATACTATCAGAAGGACGGTGAAAGCTGTTCTCTGTGTACTGTGTTCGTGTCACCGCAGCGGGTGCTAACTAAAAAGCTCTTTCAGAAATAATAACTAATGGTTCAAATAAATCAACAAATATCAAGGCGGGAGGAGGGGTAGCTAAAAAGCAGTGATATTTGGGAAGCCTGTGAAAAATAACGGACAAAGACAAGCGCCAATGTAACGAGTCTCTTATGAAAACCTTCACTGAAATGGGACTACAACAAAATATAAACAGAAAGAAAAACATCGGCGCCAAAGTAAGGTAAACGATGGTTCCCGGCCAACACCAGTCTTAAACAAGGCCTCGACTACGCTAAAAATCTAAGGCTAGGAAAACCACAAAGGAAAAACAGAAGCGACTTTCGCGAAAGATGCTGCACATCTTTCCACATCCACGTCACGGCTGCGGTGTGCCACTAGCGGGAGCGTTAGTTAGCTGGTCAGGATGTCATCACGCCACACACAACACACGGCCGGGAGGGGGCGTCCAGCATGCACGCCCGCCCACACTCACCGCCTCCTGGTGCCCGATTCCTCTCTTGGTGGCGGCCTGGGCTTGCATTCATCGCTAAATATATCATCTTCCTCTTCCTCCTCTCCTTCCTTTTTATCTTCGCTTAGATCCCTGTCTAAATAATCGTCCTCGTCAAAGTGCCTAGGCTCTGACGACGTGGTGGAAGGAGAGAGAGAGGATACCTCCATGTCGTTTTCTGTGCCGTTGCTTCTCGTTACAGAAAATGGGGAAAACGTAGAGTAAATCACACACGGAAATTATTGCGATTTAGAATTGTAAAAAAAAAAATCTTGAATATGCGAGACAGAGGAAGAATAATTGGAAAAGATCTGAGCTAAAAATAACGTTGGAGTTCGTATTATGAACGCCCTGCATGTCGTGTTACTAGCAAATTTATATGAACCTTAACCATGAATATTGGTGAAGTTACTGGCGTAGGAAAAACACTGCAATAAAGGCATTTCTCATGCACGCCTTAATGGAGACAAACTATAGTCCCGAACTTACTTAAATCCATCGGTGAATCTGAAATCAAATTCCTACGAGACTCATGCAGGCATTCCGTTTTCCGGAAAACAGTGACCAAAACTGGCGCTATTAATAAGCCAAATCCTGTGAACGTGAACTTCTGTGAATATATATGAAATTTCAACATTTATAAACAATTCAGCACTTTGAAAATGAACCTTATGCATTCCGAGAGAAGGTTGTTTATGCTCTGTGCACCAAAAACAATACCGTCGAGTGTCCGCAAGAGCTGATTACATAAGGATTTCAGACAAAGCTAGATTTTTTTTTACCTGTCCGGGAGGCAAATCTTCCGTTTTTAGTCAAATAGAGGATATAATTTATTAAACCATACCATATCGAATAACCACGCATAAAAATGTCTCTAGAAAGTTACAGAATGACCGAGCGATTTCACATGCTTCAAAATATGAATTGATTACCCTATAATGACCGCCCGAACACGCCATGAATTAGCGAAGTTACAACAACGCTTCCAAACCGGACTATGCCATACGCGCGGTGAGACAACTGCAATTTGTTATGTAATTAGAAAAAAAAAATCATGAACCGCGGGGGGGCCATGAGTCATGCTTGTTGTTCGCTCGCCGGCCGACACCCAAATCAATAGTGGGCGTCCGTTTTCTCTCCGGAGCTCACCTGGAGAGCAGAGAATGATCTCTTACATGAGTAACTAAAGCAATTCGGGCTATAGGTACGTCCGTTTGGAAGAACGATAAGGAATTTAGCTCCTTTTTTGGGGAAATTGACATTGAATTTTGAATTTTAGAAAACGCTTTTATAACGTTTCTTATAACTATAAACATTATACCTTATTTCGAATTACGAGATTACAGTCCACACAAGATTTTTTCCATCACAACCCAAAAGACAACCCAGAACAGCATGCGTGGCGTACTCACCTGTCGTCGTGAATGAAGTGTTGCACTTTGTTCATGCTCTCGTGCACCTGCCTCATACCCTCCTTGAAGCGCTGGTTGAGGCGGTGGGCGTAAAGGGAGGCGCCGCCCTCGCTCAGGTAACCGTCAAGATCCGAGGAATTGCCGGATTTGTAGCCCACATTGCGTAGGACGTCGCCGTCGGACATGTAACCTGACACAGGAGCAACACATTTTAAGGGCGAGATACACATTTTTGTGCGTGGGTGTATTTGCATGTGACACTGAAAATACATAGCTGGATCATTTTGATATATGTTATTGCTTATCAAATAATTTTTCGCCACAAATCACAATAAAAAAGTAACTAACTACATTTTTGACGCCTAATGATAGTGAATATAAAATACACAAGGAATAATAGCATTCAAAATTGAAACACGCCAAACAAACACAAACCAATCCGACGCACAATTCTTCCTATACCATCCTAAATATCGCACGCCAACGAAACGAACTCCAACTACGAACTACAGCCACGACATCCCAGAGCGCACGACATAACACAGGGCACAGTGAGAGCTAAGGAAAAGGGACTGACGTGAAGATTCCCTCCCCGCTGGGATGAAAACCAGCTCCCTCGGGTGTACGTGAGAAGCGATAATGCGTGGCGGGCGAGTCACCTCGTCCCCTGGGCCTTTGGAGTGCCTGCCTTTGCCGTGACATGAGACGCTGACTTGCTCTGGCACGGGGGGTTGCTTCGTGACGTCGCTTAGGTTTTAGTCACTGTCTCGGGGATTACCAGCGTGACTATTTAGTTTCTTCGGAGACCCATTGGGGATAACACTGGCACTAAAACCTGACTGACTATCTTTCTGTCTCTGTCTCTCTCGGTCTCTCTCTCTCTCTCTTTTCTCTCTCTCTCTCTCTCTCTCTCTCTCTCTCTCTCTCTCTCTCTCTCTCTCTCTCTCTCTCTCTCTCTCTCTCTCTCTCTCTCTCTCTCTCTCTCTCTCTCTCAAACGCAATTCTGGGAAGTACGGCGTGAAACTGACGTGACATCAATCCAAAATAATGTCAACTATACACGTGACATGAAGAAACATTTCATATTGCCATCCATCAAAAGAATTCCAGGAGCAGGATAATGGCCGTCCGAGGAGATTCACATATCACGCATTTTTTTTCTACTCCTGGAGGGCTCCATACAATAAAAATCAATTTAATCTAATACGTTGTAAATTCTGCTAAACTACAGTAAGAGCATCGTTTACTCTCGAAAAGACGCTACTTTATAACCACATTCACAGCAGTTAAACAAAGGAAATACAACATCGACCTGACACGTTATTCTAAACTTTTACAGGGTTGCTTGAATACTACCTGACTACTTTCTGAGTTTAAAATGTGGCACACAAAGATACAGGAGGAGACTATTTACCATTAGCGAGGTCCACACTCTCCAGGTCGCTATAATCCGTGTCAATGACCTGGTTGGGACCCGGAGGACGCTTGAGGTGAGGCCCAATACGCATCCCCTTCTGCGGTACTGTGTTGGCGTTGTCTTGGAGGGCTGCTGAAAAAAAATCGAGTTGGTTAATAAAGAGAATTACTCACAAATGCACATCAATGATAAATGTAAATAAATCTATCAAAAGGCGAATTACTTAAAACTTAATTATTCCAATCAGTTACATATTCCGATGACTTTTATTATACATAAGAGCTTCTTAATGATTAACTTCACTTATAACGAAAAGGTATCAGTTCTTGGACTGACCTAGCCTGGAAACGTGCAAAGAAGGTGGCACTGTGCGGGTTTGGTGTAGTCCTAGTCCTCTCATGTAGCCATACTGCGAAGCCCTCACCAGCGGCTGCATGGGCTTGATATTCAGAATAACTTCGTCGCCGTCTTCTCCTTCGGCCTTCTCCTCCACCTGCACAAAGAAAGAGGAAAATTATCTTTAAAATTGTCGAACAATTAGAGCTGGATATCTTTAATATTTACAGTAATAATAAATCACGAATCCTTAATACAATTGCACTTGTTACAAGATAAGGAGCGTTTATATAAATGGGCCTTTTACATCTCGTATAAAGCGAGGTGGCCTCTCTCATCGCCAGCCACTTACCTTTCTCATGTGAGTCTTCAGGTCGGAGACGCTGTCGTCCTCTGAGCTCGTGGGCTTGTAGATGACGGAGGAGTTGCCGGAGGAAGTGCTGTTGCTATGGCCGCTGTTGCTCTGGGAGGACTCGCTGATGTTGGAGCCCGACTCGGAGGGCGTGACCATGTCCTTCTCGCGTGGGTTGGGCATGGGACTCACCATCGCCACGCTGATGCCCGTCGCGGAGTCCTCCCGTCTGCCCAGCTGCTTCTGGCGCGGCAGAGAGCCCTTCGGGTCGCGGCACTCTTGAGCTGCGTTGGCCTCTCCACCTGAGGGCGTCCCTGCCTGCCGCGGAGCGCTGCTGCCTCCGATTTTAGGCGTGGAGGGCGTGCCCGCGGGGCGGACCATTTTGTTGTAGTCTTTGGCCTGATGAGACGTGTTGACGTTGGGCGAGGCGGTGGGCGTCGGGGGCGCAGACCGCTCGGGGGGCACCACCTTGGTCTGGCCCTTCACGTGGGCCGTGGGCTTCGGGATGCCCGTGCCTGGAGTGCCTGGGGGGAGGGGGCTGCCAGGGGTCGTCACGACAGTCTGCTGCTGCATTGCTGAGGTCTGATCCTGGTGGCTGCTGTGGCTGTACTCCTTGTGGTCCTTCTCCTTGGGCGGCAGAGCGGGTGGCTGGTCTGTCTCTGAGGCTGCGTGCCCTGCGGTCTCCGGCCGCGGACCCGGCGCAGGGGGCCGGGAGTCCTTCTCGGCATTGGCTGGCAGGGGGCACTGGGGGCGCTGGGGGCGCGAGCCGCCATCCAACTCGAGGGTGAGCTTGTCGCCCTTTTTGGCGCTTCTGTCGCGACTCTCTCCGCGAGGGTCTCGGTGGGTCTTGTGACCCCCCCGCGGCGACCCCCGGGACCCCTCCCGCTCCTCGCGCTCCTTGTCCTTGCGCGACGCCTTGGGCGACTCCTTGCCCTCCTTGCCCGCGGACTTGGAAAACTTGGACCTGGAATCAAGACAATGTTAGCCACGCGTTGCAGGACGACAGACTGCATCCTTGTTTGATTAACGGTCTGAAACATTTAAATATCGGTAATAGCAATCATAATAATGGTAATGACGATGATAATGATAATGAAGATGACAAAAGTAATAACAAATGATGATGATAATGATAATGATAATAACAATAATAATAATAATAATAATAATAATAACAATAACGTTAACAGCAGTAAATAATACATAATAGTAACAGCAATAACAACAATAATAGTAATAATAGTATCAATAATAACAACAACAATAATAATAATAACAATAACGGTGTTGCTGTTTTTATAAGATGATGAAGATGAAAAATAATAATGCCAATGATGATGGGCATAAGTAACAATAACAAAAACAAGAATTACAAACAATATAAAGGAAAAACAAGACTAGATCAATTTTGATAATAAAACAACACCTGCGGAAGCAATCAAATGGAAAAGACTACCACAATGGCGGAGCCCAGTGAGAACACCATCACAGGGCAAGAACACACCTGATGCCCCGGAGGCCCTGCGGCTTGGTGGAGGCGGGGGGCGCTCCCCCCTGCTGCGCCTCCGCGTGGCTCGTCTGATCACTGCTGCTGCTACTGGTGCTCACAGGCAAGCTGCGGGCGTGGGGGGCGTGCTGTTAGTCATTTATTGGGCGTAGGGCGTACAGTTACTCGAGGGCGTGTCCGAGGTTTAAATGTGGGCGGGGTTATGGCTAGGTGTAGCTGGAGTTTATGTGCTTCGGTCGGTGTCTTTGGGGGATTATGTACATTTTGAGGGAGAAGCCTTGCTCACGAGCGTAAGCCGGGTGCGTTTATATCTAGGTTTTAAGGTACGGTGTGTGTTATGCCTTCGGTGTGGGGGTGATGTTATGTTTTTATTGTTATTATCAGGAAAAGACTAAGCTAAAATTATGACCTACGTTTTATATACAACACGCATAAGAAGTAATATACTGACCCCTTGCTTTAGTGATTCTGAGAATGGTGATTAGTTTTATGTATCTTATTAGTTAAAGACTATCTTTGTAGGGCTAATAGCTCCGGCAAATTTACAAGACCGAGAAATCCTAGGAAAGCATCACGTCCTGGACTCGTCTCACTGAATTTTACATCCATTCAGGAAAAAAAAATAAAAATCAAAGTGAAGAAACAAGAAGTTCCATGTACTTTCCTAATACTCAACAATCAAAAAATTCACTAAAATATAAACAAAAACTAACAATTTCTCTTGCGTTGCCAAAGATACATAACGGTATAATCGGCGCAACTTAACTTCACGTACAATGTAATCTGTGAATCAGTTCCGTGACGTGACTACCGTGACTCACACATCATTACTCCATATTCTGCCTTATTTAAGCGGGCCTAACTCGCTCCGTAATTAGAGCAATCAGCCGGAATTACCTTTAGACTATGTACACTGCAATTAGTACCGTGTTAACGTTAGTCTCTCTCTCTCCACTTCTGTACAGAACCTACTCTCCTCTCACCCATCCATAATCTCATTACCCTTTCGTTCGGGTTATCTATTCCACTCTCAGTTCTTCCACCTCACTGACTCCCTCTCCCGACGCGGGCGAAGAAGACGTTACCTTTGGTGCGGCGGCAGCGGAGGCGGCTTGGCGTCGGAACACAGGCTGGTCGACGAGTCCGAGCGCTCGGATCTGGCGCTGCTGAAGCCGCTGCTGCTGCTCGTTCGTTTGCTCACCCCGCTGCTGCCTGTAAGGGAGGGGGAGGAGGGCCAGTTAGTAAACGTCGTTTAAAAGGAAGGAAGTAGAAAGGGGAGTGAGTTCCCCGTGAGTGATGTAATGATGATGTGATGTGATGTACTTTTGATTGCAGTGTCTGAAACGGCTACGGTGATGATGGTGATGAGCAGATGAAAGTGGCGACACGGTGGATGTGTCGAAGGCTGAGACATATAGAAGAGAGGGAATAGATGGAGAAAAAAAGTGAAGTATCCCTAACTGCGGTTGATGTCAAAAGGAGGGAGAAACTGTTCCTGAAAGAAAGACAAAGATGTGGCGTGGGCTTGATTCATAATGGAGGGGAGGAGTGGGAGTGTGATGAGGTGGGAGTGAGTAACTTCTCACAGATCGCGTGTCGAGTGGTCATGTTCCCGGAGGAGGGGGGGGTGTCTATGCGTCACTTCACGCAATTACACTAAACATGATTTTGGTTACACTGACCACTCAACAATTGGGCCCAAACAAAAGAAATGCAAATAAAAATTTATGTTCTGAGTGTATACGTATTCATATCAAAGCATGGGCGAATCTATCCATCAAAATTCGCACGTGGCGCCTGACACTGTTCATCATGATTTTAATTCGCGTCCAGCTCGGAATACTCCGCGCCGTCCATCAAAGCCGATCTGACCGGACAGGCCGAGGATCAACAGGTCACGGGGTTATTGCTCTCTCCCCCCCTTCCCCCATCCCCACTACCCGGCACACCACCGACGGGTCCGGTGCCTCAACAGTGCCACAGGTGTCCCCGAGCGGCTCCGCTAGCCAATCATGACGTCATTTCCACCTAAAAAACGAATTCCGTACTCCACGTTGTTCATATGACACGGTCGACCCGACGACTTATATTTCCATTAACAGAAACAAATATATTCATGGCGGTACTACTGATAATGATAAAAGATAACATGCACTAGTTACCCCCTTCACAACGCATGACATCGCAACCCGCATGACTTTTCTTCGTGACATTCAGTAACGTGATATCCAATCCCCTTTGCTCCCCCCACCCCCCTTCCCGCGTCCCCCCCATGCCCCTCTCCGGAACACCTGATCAGGGACTGACGGCCCGCATCGCCAGCGAATGGTACACGAAGGAATAAAGCCTTCATGTGTATGTTCTTTGGCTCAAGGACCAGCGCACCGACGAAGGAAAAGCGGTCGGTTTCTCTGTCTCTGGTCTCGTTAGTTTCAATGCAATCGGCTTCAATGACGAA